AGTAATAAAAGAAATATGGCCCGTGCGCCGAACACCCGACAAGGTAGGACCCTCTTGATGATGCCGAAGTCCCCGAGGCAACCGAACATGTCGGTATGGCAATTCGATCAACAAGGTGACCACGCGAGCCAATTTATGCCGATTGGGACGACGACGTCGGCTTGCCGAAGTGACCGCATGATGCAGTCGGACTCGATTACCTACACATGTAAAATAGTGCATTCCAAAAAATAATAATATAAATATAATTTAAAAAAATCTTGCATAACTAATTTACGCAAAATAATTTTTTTTAAAGAGATGTAGCCTGGCGTCGAAGCCAATGTCGATGCGGGGCGCCTGCGTGACAAATCCTATATTCATAGGGCGGTCTGAGTCCCTGATGAGGCGTTCGCCGAACTGCAAACGGGAAACTGGCTGAACCATCACACAACCATCATTAATGCGGCCGTCATTTGACAGACCTGTGTACAGATGATGGAACAAATCAGAGTAATAATTCCACAGGAAAAATAAACTCAAGCAAGAAAAAATTATTATGATTAATAGCACCTGGTTTATCTGTTGCAGCAATCTGAAGAAAGGTTACACCCAACATTGGGACTCGATCCGCACACTCATTGCCTGATGGGCGATGAAGCGACGACATGGCGATGCTGACAAATGTTGGCTTGCTGAGGCAAAACCCCCGGTCCAGCTAACATGACGAAGCTGGTCGGCTGGTGACACCGAAGTCTCCGGAGTAGGTTGATGAAGAGATGGAGAAGCCCCCGGTCCAGACGAGGTGACGGAGCAGGTCGGTAAGCTGACGCTGCAGCCGCTGTGCCAGCCGAGGTGTTGAAGCGGTTCAACATGGCAGACATAGGTTTGAAGAAGCTACGGCTCGGTCATGCCGACGCTGGTCATAACTTGTGACGCGGTCAAAGCCGGATTGATGAAGCGACCGAGCGGCGATGTCGGCGCGCCTGACCCGTGCAATCCGTGAGGCGATGGTGTTGGTGATAATTTAGTCTTCGCGATGACGAACTCTTGTTCGGCATGCCGAGCTGATGATCCAGTAAGGTTGGGCTCGGCTCGATGAAGCGACGATCTGTCTAGCGCAGGCCGGCAGACGTGGAGTAAGGGTTGGTTTGACACCGGCACGACGGTGAAGATTACCTCCGAAAAGGAGCAAAATTTGTGAGCATGTGTTCGGAAACAAAACACAATACCCTAGAAAGAGATTTTTCCAAAAAGGTTGTCCAATATCCCGTTCATGAAGAAAGATGAACTCGGGTCGGATTCGTATTCGCGCAGAAAACAGATCCAAAAAGGGATGTACTAATCGGAAGGTTCCCGGAGTTTGGACGGTCGGATCGAGCTGAAATTTTGAGAGGTGGTAGATATAGGAATTCCGCAGCCGATCAACGGTTGGATCTTCCAAAGGACGTCCAAGCTAGATGCTGGACACTATGCTCCAAATTCGTCCAGATTCCCGTCCAGATTTGACAGGGCTCCGGTATATCGGAGATCGACGGAGATTGCTCCACCAGAACGCGACGAAATTTTATACTATTGTTGTAGACTCAATTCCGCACAATTCCACCGAAGGAATCGTCAAAGCGATGCTCGAGGAGGTGGTAGTAGCGGATACAAGTTCGCTGTTCAGAAAAACAGCACGGTCGCCCGAGGGCAATGTTAACGTTGAGCCCCCGAGCTCCATGGATGATTCCTCCATCATCATGATAGACATCAGAGTTGAGGTTGATGAATGCCCTCGTCCGAACATGACGATTGGAGGCAGGGCACAGTCCATGGTCAAGCCAAGGCGACCACTCAAGCCGGCAACAAAGACGCCGACGTCGTAGTTGATCTGCAGACCAGCCATTAATCCCTTGCCGATCACACAGCGGAACTCTCAATGAAAGCACCATTGTTGCTGTCAAAACCGGTAGATCTCGGGTAGGGGGTCTCGAGCTATGTGTCATGGATCGATGGGTAACAGGAGACAGGGGACACGATGTTTACCCAGGTTCAGGTCCTCTTAATGGAGGTAATACCCTACTTCCTGCTTGATTGATCTTGATGAATATAGAGATTACAAGAGTTGATCTACCCCGAGATCATATTGATGTTGCTATGACTTTGCCATGCTTAATGCTTGTCACTTTGGGCCCGGGTGCCATGATTTTAGATCTGAACCATTTATGTTATCACCATTATATCCATGTTCTAAATCCGACCTTGCAAGTTATAGTCACATACTACGTGTTATGATCTGGCAACCCCGGAGTGACAATAGTCGGGACCACTCCCGGTGATGACCGTAGTTTGAGGAGTTCATGTATACACCGTGTTTTAATGCTTTGTTCCAGTTCTCTATTAAAAAGAGGCCTTAATATCCCTTAGTTTCCAATTAGACCCTGCTACCACGGGAGGGTAGGACAAAATATGTCATGCAAGTTCTTTCCATAAGCACGTATGACTATTTACGGAATACATGCCTACATTATATTTATGAACTGGAGCTAGTGCCGTATCGCCCTAGGTTATGACTGTCACATGATGAATATCATCCAACAAATTACCGATCCAATGCCTACGAATTTATCCTATATTGTTCTTGCTAGATTACTACTGCTATCGTCACTACTGCACTTACTACAAAATTACTGCTATCACTATTATTGTTACCATTGTTGCTGTCATTATTATCAAAACTATCATATTACTTTGCTACTGATCACGTTGCTGCAGACAATTAATCTCCAGATGCGGTTGGATTGACAACTCAGCTGCTAATACTTGCAAATATTCTTTGGCTCCCCTTGTATCGAATCTATAAATTTGGTTGAATATTCTACCCTCGAAAACTGTTGCAATCCCCTATACTTGTGGGTTATCACACCACCCCTTCGTCCAACCTTTTCTGTAGGATAATCAATCACCTTAATTTACATACCTTACAAATTTTACTTTAGTTTACTTATCAAACTTCTCATCAAAGTATAAGGTAAATCATGAGCAAAAGTTGATAAATATTAATTACACGATCGCACTAAAATGGACAACTAAATCACAAACTAACATATTAGAGTATTTATATCCCGCTGCAACGCACCGACATTGTCCTAGTCTATCTATATATCTATACTACTTAAAAGGAATGCAATGTTTCATGTTTTACTTTTCTTTCCACCACGTCTTCATCTAACTTTTCCATATGATAATCAATTACCTTAATTTACTTACCTTCTGAACCAAATTCACTTTAGTTTACTTACCAAACTTCTCATCAAAATATAAGATAATCATGGGAAGAATTTGATAAATATTTATTTACAGCATTAATATGGGCACTCCTAAGGAAACTTTCCTACATATTGTGATCCATATTTATAACCCATTACAACGCACGAGCATTGTCCTAGTGCACAATAAAAAATTGGATAACCGAAGCAAACACAATCCAAAATAGACTACTTTTCTGTATTTCGGGCATGTGGCAAGTTGAGGTGAACCCTACGGTAAAAAATCTACTAGTTTGTGTGAATCTCCCCCTCCCGCCGGGAAATCTAACTAGAGAATCGTCCACCTTGGCATGCTATAGAGACCATATGTGCCGACTTGGGTCTATTTTCGATAGTATCCCTCTCCTGAAAAAACTAAGCCGAGACCCATCCACCTTAGAGCATCTCCAACAGCTCCCCTATCTCAAAAATAATCACCATTTACAGGATGCTGGGTCAAAAACCCTCCCGAACAGTTCCATAAATTGGTTCTTTCCTCCCGCTAAAATTTTGGCGGGATAGTAACCACCTGAAACTTCACCATGCCCTACCCTCAATGCCAGAATCTCGCGGGAGCGCCGCCGCCGCCCGCCGCCTCGCGCCATCGGCCACTTCATTGCCTCGTGCTGCCCTTCGCTGGTTGTCGTAACGAGTGTCACTGATTGATGGGCCATAGGTCATTATCTAATATTTTAATTAAAAGTTAAATAAAAATGAATTGAGGGGAAGAAGTTTACGAGAACTGTCAAAAATAGTTCTCAGGCAACTTCCCCTAAATTTTAGGGTCTTCTCGTAGCTAGTTTTATGGGAAGTTTTTTAAGGGAGCTATTTTTTTAACACAGTACAGACGCTGACGCTCATACATTTCAGATACACTCAGCCCTGTGAACGCACGCACGCACACCCTATCCCTCTTAGCACCTTCGAGAGACTGAGACGACACATCATCTTGAGATTGACGAAGTCGTCATAGACGCCTTCGTAGTCGACTGGAACGTCTCCTCTCACTGAGCGCACATCGCTGAAAGTTCTGAAATAAATCCAGAAAAATGTGAGCACCCGTGTCAAGTCTAAAGCTTAATCCCCAGTGCATTGGCGGAGCTACGTTGTAGCAAAATGGGCCATGGCCCGCCCAGTTTTACTGCAAAAGGCTAGGCTTAAGGGTAAATCTGGGTCATAATTGTCAAAAAATTGGGCCTCTCTTCAGATTGGCCCGCCCATGCTTTTGAATGTAGCTCCGCCACTGCCCCAGTGGCTGGGGATATCACTGCCCTCCTAACCATCCAGCCACACCATCCAGCCACAACTCGCTTTGCTAACGGAGCTGTTTTTGGAGTTGCTCTTAGAATGCCACATAGCTAATCCATTTTCGACCGCATTTACTCCTGCAAGCCAAGTGTATGGTGCTGATTTATACAAAATCTCAAAGATACACAAGCCGCCAGGTGGCACAAGCCTCACTCTCACCCTTCCCTTTTGCAGTCTGGCCTACGGGCAACAGGAAAAACCCCCAGAATATTTGCGCCGGCCACCGCCACTTTTCTACACTCCCGTGGCCGCGGTGTGGACTGTGGAGTCGCGTTTGAATCATTCAATTCCATTCCATTCCATTCCACCCAACCTCCCTTCCTTCCTCCTTCCCCTCCCATTCAATTTCCCAAACTCCCATCCCCCACTCCGTCCGTCACTCACCCGGACCCCCAAACCCTAGCCCCCACGCGCACGCAGTCCATGGGGTGCGCGCACGGCAAGTGCTGCCTGCCGCGGGGCGACGGCGGGGGGCGGCGGGAAGGCGGCGGCGTGCCGGGCGGCCTCGGCGGCTCCACCCTCGGCCGCGCCGCGGTGCCGGGGGCCGGCCTGGCGCTGGAGTACGCCACGCTGACGGTCGACGGCCTCTACCCGGACTCCCCGGGCCGGGAGACGCAGGACGCGTACCTGGTGGCCACGCGCTTCGCGGGCGACCCCGATCTCCACCTCTTCGCCGTCTTCGACGGCCACGGCGCCTGCGGGGCCGCCTGCTCCGGGTTCGCGCGCGACGCGCTCCCGCGCCTCCTCCTCCTCGCGGCCGAGGACGACGGCGCCGGCGCCGGCGGGAGCCTCCTCGCGACGGACCCCGCGGGCGCGTTCCGGGCGGCGATGATTGGGGTCAACGAGGAGATGCACGCGGCGCCGGCCGTCGACGACTCCATGAGCGGGACCACGGCCGTGGCCGCGCTCGTGGCCGGCGGCGCGCTCCACGTGGCCAACGTCGGGGACTCGCGCGCCGTCGCCGGGGTCTGGCGCGACGGCCGCGTCGCCGCCGAGGAGCTGTCGTGGGACCAGACGCCGTTCCGCGCCGACGAGCGCGCGCGCGTCAAGGCCTGCGGCGCGCGGGTCATGTCGGTCGAGCAGGTGGAGGGCGTGCGCGACCCGGACGCCGAGGGCTGGCTCGCCGACGAGGGGGACCCGCCTCGCGTCTGGGCCCGCGACGGCCTCTACCCGGGCACGGCCTTCACGCGCAGCCTCGGCGACCTCGCCGCCGAGGGCGTCGGGGTCATCGCCGACCCTGAGGTGAAGACCGTGGAGATCACCCCGGCCCACCTCTTCTTCGTCGTCGCAAGCGATGGCGTCTTCGAGTTCCTCTCCAGCCAGGAAGTCGTCGACATGGTGATGATTTTCTCCCCCTTCTCAAATTTCCTTGCTCCTTTGCCTTTGCTGAGCTGATCCATTTGGAAGTTGGTGTTTTACCTACCGCATATAGTATTCTTGGAAAGAAATTCGTAGGGTGTGCCTGTGAACTTCTAGTGTGGTGAATCTGGTTAGCAAGTACTAGTAGTAAATTGGTAATAAGCAGGGTGCATTTTGCTTGAATGACTTTCAGTCACAACACCAGTTACTCATATTTGTTGATCTGTGTCTGATTAACTAGAGCCTTGATGTAAAGCTTTGGATCTTGCCATCTTGGAAGTAGCCAATGATAGTGAACCAACTTCTAGTGTGGTGAATGTAGGTAGCAAGTACAGTAGTAAATTGGTAATTAGGAACGACTTTCAATCACAACACCAGTTACTCATATTTGTTGATTTGTTCGATTAACCTAGAGCCTTGACGTAAAGCTTTGGATTGGAAAGTAGCCAATAATAGTGAACCAACTGGCTTACCGTGAATTCCCATTCCTTCAGTAGCACGCACGAATATCTGGCTTCCATGCATTCCAGTTTCATCGGTAGCATGCATGCTTATTAGTAGCACATCGGAGCTGTAGAAAATTATCGCTTCATTGTTTTTCTTTTCTTCATATTATAACTAGCTACCAGTTTCTTGACATGTCCACTACTACCTTTAATGAGCTAATAACATGTAAAGCAACCCAAACCATCTCCCCTGGATTTCTCCCAAAATCCCATTAGGGGGGAGGTGAGTTTGGTAGGGTTGGAATGAGTTTTTTGCTCAAACCCCCTAAAACAGGGGATAGTTGGAGTTGCTCTTTAAGTGTCATTTTAGGTCCAAACATGTTTGATGGCAACCCACCCAGTAAATATTCTTATATACTCCACTTATGAGTTTATAGGCTTGATCAAGTCTGTCTGGCCTATGATGATATTGAAGCCCAATTTGATGTTGACCTTGACTTGCTCTGTCCAACGAAAGTATGAAATTATTTGCTTTATAAGTATAGTGACATCTCTGATGAGATTATTATTAACTTGTTAGGTTGAAGAGTAGGGCATGCGATGTTAAGCATTAAACCTGTAGTTAGAGAAGATAAGCATAATCATAAAAACAAAGATAAGATAATATTTAGTGATAAATTCAGCGGAATGTGTTGAGAAGTGGATGTGCTTATAATATGTTGGTGAGCCAGTAATGGAAACGGGGATACCTAAAACATTCATGTATGAGAATATTGACAGTCAAGCAGAGTGCAGAATTATTTCAGCCCTTTACCGATTATCGTGGAGCTATATTGCTATTTAAGGTTATGAGCGGTAGTATTGAGTTGTTGGGAATCTAGTAAAGATGTATAGTTCAGTGGGTACAAGGAATTAAAAATAACTCGTGGGGTCAACTTTTATATCCAGGAAACAAATGCAAATGGTCCTGCATATCGCATTTTTACTCCATTCTTGTGTGTACTAAAAAGCTACTCATTCAAAAAGCTGGACGTGTAGGTTGGTGTAATGATTATGAAATGGTCAGGAATTTGAGGTTGATTGATGTTGCCATTACGAAAGCCACCACTCTAGATAAAGTTCTGCATAAGTGGATGTACCTTTACTGAGTAATAGATGAATAGTGGACCAGCATCTGAGCTGTATTGGTGAATTGACTAATCCGAAATGTGTCCAGCAAAAAGAACGTGAGAAAATGGACTGAAGGTTCATGATTTATTATACTACTTTCCTGTTGTACTGCCGATGAAGAAAAAGATATTGGCCATTTTATTGGTCTTGGAACTGACAAGTCACTTCAGAATTGACTGCTGATTGCTGAATTGCTAGTGATGTGCTTGCATGTTGTCAATTCTGTTCTGATTAACATGGTCCGGAGTTCTTAATGGGATGGTCCCCTGTAAACCCTCTCTTTTCCTTTCCACCACTTCCCTAACTAGTGCCCTTAGGAAACCAGGCTGGTAACAGCCTTTATGTTCTTCCAAGTTCTTTCATCTTTCCTGCGCATGATGCCCTCCTTGTGTATGCATCTCCATGAAGTGCACCCATGTGCGATCCACCATTTTGGTGTGATCAAACTATGACAGTTTTATTTTAGACATATATTTTAGATGGTGGTCTCTACTCTCTATGCCATATCATGCACCATTTGAAGTCCTTTAGTATCAATCTCATGTAATAATGTATGTGGTTTTGCTTGCTCTGGTATGCCTTTGGTGTTCTCTGCCTCCATGTCCGAAATGCTATAACATTTGTCTCAATTGCTACAGGTGGCTATGCATCAAGACCCTCGAGATGCTTGCGCAGCAATCGCTGCAGAGTCATACAAACTATGGCTAGAGCACGAAAACAGGACAGATGATATAACAATAATCATCGTGCATATCCGGGATGCTCAAAATGTACGTGCACATACCTTTTGATTATGTAGGCATAATACCGCAATTGTTGGTGGCTTTGCAGAAATTCATTGTCTTTCCAAAATTTACTCAGTCAGGTCCTGCAGGGAGTGACAAAGAGAACTCCAGCAGCACCGGGGCGCCGATAGCATTGCACACGGTACAGCCAGAGCTGCCTGTATTTGTACCGTCGGAGCTACCTGTATTTGTACCGTCAGAAGCAAGTCACCTGAACGCAGTGGCTACTGCTGAACTGCGGCGGCCATCCTCCTCTGGCTCTCCATCGGAACGACGCCTCTCATGCGTTGCTCCTTCGCCTACACACCCTTTACTGGAAGGAGGTAAAGCATCGGAAGCTTCCAGGTCGACCCAGATCGACATTCCTTTATCCGAACCAGTGGAAGCTTGGCATCCTAGTCAAGGTGGTAACAAGCTAGAGCGGGCAGTCTCCTGCTGACCATGCATGAGGTAATGTCACCAGTCTCCTTCTAACTGGGGAATGGTGTAAACGCAAACAATCTCATATCAGTTCACTCTTTTTCATTGCAGTCCTCTAGCTTAAATCTCACAACAGGAGTGGCAGCACACCCGTCGTCATCCCCCGTAAGGTCTCGCCCTAATCAAGTTTCTTTTCGTCGTATTTCTGGACCGATTTGCTTAGAAAGCTTTTGACATTTTTACAGGGGGGCTGACTTCCCGAACAGTGGGTGTGATGCAGGCTGGCAATGTTTGTTCTGCGCCGGTTGCAAGTTGCTCGTGTTTTCTTAGAGCACCTGCTGACTGACAATGAAAAGGATTCTGACCCAAACAGGGTCGTTTAACATAAGGATTGATGGGCTTGAGCTTGTGGCATTGGACGCCGCCAAGCGTTAACTGGAAATGGAGTCAAGTATCTGAAGAATTTGTATTTGTTATTTATCACATCATGTTAAGTTGATGCTTGCAGACCTGCAGTCATATGGTATGAGCTGCGGTGCAGTGTGATACCGCAACGAATAATTGCCGCTTATTCTTAATCGGATGGGAAGGAAGTGGTCTTTCAGTCTTTGTGAGTAGGATAGTGAGAAATGCTCAGGGCTTACTGAAAGAGACTCCTTAGCTTTATATTCCACCAAAATGCCTTGTATGCTCCTAAAAACTCTTAATTTGGCAAGTCATATTACTCCTTGTGTTTCAAAATGGTTGCAAAATTTTAAATAACTCACTAATATGTTGTTTTTGTTATTTAAAATTGCAAGCAATAGCTAGTACTCCCTTGGTGATCTAAATGATCTTATATTTCTTTACGTAGGGAGTATTGTTAAACATGAACCTAATCACATTATGCATGCATGTACAAAGTATAATTGTCTGTCAAAAAGTTTCTTAATAAGAATACTTCTTATGCAGGTGTAATAGAACCAAAAAAAAAATGTTGTTGGTCCGTCATCAAATAATACAGCAGCCAACAGAAACAGTAGCAATACCATCTCGTTGGTCCGGTTGACGACGGTCACTGAACCTGTAGATTTTCCAGAAGTATATATACATATGCAGTAATTCTATTTTTCTCAGTTGTACATTCGACGTGTGGGACCTAGCGATGAGTTATTAGCAGGAAGCAAACTGTTTCTGTTTCTGCTGGGAACCACCAGCCGTCAGCGCGCCACCGGCGATGAATCCCACAATCTCCTTCCCCAAGCCCAGCCATGGCGGCAGCCACGAGCTGGCTCCTCCTGCCTGCGGCCCTGGCCCACGCCACAGCTGACCCGCGCCGCCGCCCAGCACGCCGCGCCTCGTGTGGAGGCATGGCGTGGTCGCCGACGCGGAGTTGGCGGAGGGATGGATGGAGGGGAGGCGGTCGACTGCGAGGCTCGCGCGCGCGGGCGCCTCGCCGGCGGAAACGTGGTGCTCAACCCCGAGTTCTTCCAGACCGATTCCTCGGTAATCTGAGCTCAAACCAGTCCCCGTTTCAGAAATTTTGCAAGGCGCTGGGCCGGGTTCCACACAACACAGGGGGCTTCATCCTCTTCACAATAGCAATGTTGGCGGTTCTAAAAAAAACAATTTTGGCTGGACTTCCTTTTTGGCGAAAAGCATCAGATCTTATAAAAGTTCACCATAAGTAACTAAGTACTCCCTCCGTCCCAAAAAGTTTAGATGTATCTAGCATTAAGTTAGTGTCAGATATATCCAGTTGGGAAACAAGTTTGGGATAAACTTTTCGGACGGAAGAAGTATAAAGCATCAAACATAATAAACTCATTAGAGTTAATTACACTATTCATACATAAACTTGGGGGCGGATACAATTTCATACAAAAACTTGCAAAATGACTTAATTGGGCCCCTAAACTTACTTTGCGGGAACAAATTGATACAAATTAGCCTGAAACATGCCACGTCGGTTGAGACACCGAATGAGAGGCACGCGCCGGTCGCTTTTGTATTGCGCACAAACCACCCCAAGTAGACCAATAATCCAACCCGTGGTCCTCAGAGAGAGATGGGAGTAGAAAATTTGAAAACGACACTTGAGGTAATGCAAATTCTTCCATTTACACCATAGTCCCAGCACAAACCCCTTCGCCTCTCTGTCTTTCTGTATCTAATCGACCCCTTCCTTTTTCTGTTTCCCATCGGCCCCTAAGGCGACGCTGCCTAGTTGGTCGCCGTCAACGAGATCGACGCTTGATGGGGCCGCGTCCTCGTGGCATTGGCGAGTTTCTGCCGGATTACGGTATGTATACTGCTTCTCCTGTGTTTGATTGGTCCCCTGTTTCGGTCCACTCATGGCTAGGGTTTTGGTCGTACTTGATCGGTAGTATTTCCGCCCGCGTGTGGTTCTTCTTTGGTACATATGGTTGGTAATCGAGCATCATTAGATGAAAGTGTAGGCGATGTGTCCAAGGGGTTCACAGTGTTTACTGAAAACGATTGTTTGGCTGTCATTTTCAGATGAACAGATTATAAACCTACTCCCAGCATCCAATCCTTCTGTACACATTCCAAGAACAGGTTTCATACTGCAGAACGGCATCAAAAAACTACGCCCAACATCAAAATTTGTTGTGTTATGCTAAAGGATCACATACCGCAGAACGACATCAGAAATTACGAATGGAAAAGCACATCCGTTTTTTTGGGCCGAAGTGAAGCTCATATGTCACCCTCCATTCTTCACTATAGTCGCCGACCCAGCCATCCTTGTGACCGCCACCGTCGCCGCCCATGAGCCGTGCGCTCACAAGAAGGGGTTGGTAGTCTGCCGACGAGGACACCGCATCATGGCGCCAAGAGGGGTTGGGCACCGACGACCCTTCTCCATGTTTGTTGGACTCAGTCGAGAGTGGATTTTCGGGGAAGAAAAGAGGAGAGTGGCTAGGGATTTGGCTGTTGTGAAGCGAATAGAGAGAGGCGAGGGGATTTGGACGGGCTACACGGGGATCTATTTCAGCATACAATAGGGGGTTTCCTGTAAATTATCTTGGACGTGGGGTAAATGCTCCGGCTGACGTGTCATCCGACGTGGCAAGTTTCAGATTAATTTGTATCATTTTGTTCCCGCAAAGCAAGTTTAGGGGCCCAGTTGAGTTATTTTGCAAGTTTTTGTATGAAATTGTACCCGCGCTGTAAGTTTATGTATGGATAGTGTAATTAACTCTAAATATTATATCGAGATTCCGAAATTTTTGGCTGGACGATTACAAGTGCGTATTCCAAGTTTCAACACGGTACCAATTATAGTAATATGCTAGTCATGCTAAGTGGATGCAAATCAAAGTCTGGTATGCAACTGCCGGTATGTCCACTGGATGGCAGGTTATATGATGTTGCGAAAGTGCTGAGTTGAGCTCGAGCTCAGATACGCTCGTGTTCTCCCCCGTTGTCTCTCTGCAAGATTCGGACAACCCAGCTCATGATGTTGTTGGTTCTCTAAGAAGAGCAACTGCATTGTTGAATCTGATAAAATATACGTATATAGCCAGTGATATACATTTAGTTCAATGGCATACATGAACACATCCTTTAACTCCATAGCCACATGAACACAACCATTTGTCATGTTTAAAAAAAATACAACTGGAGTTACATTACAGAGTTCTGAAGCAAAATTAGATCGGCACTCCTCGTCGCTTCCTCCCTGGCAAGGCACCACCTTCATGTGTAACCTGAGCATGACTTGTAACAAAATGAACAAATGATTTATGAGGGGGTATCCTTGATTCCCATGCAACTAGACTGAAGTCTCCTTCCAGTGTAGCACTAGGATCTACTAGAAGTTTCACCAATGTCACACTTGGTGATTCCTCCTTGATTGGAACATTACTTGTCATGGTAAGTGGATGCAAAGCGAAGTCCGTGATGTCCACTGGATGGCCTTGTTCTATATATAAGCATACTTGGCTGCACACCATGTATGGAGAGGTTTCTTTTAACATATCTTACCCCCTTGTCAAATAAGCAACGCCAAAACTGAACATCACTACAAAAAAAGACACATCCGTAACATTTTGGGTCGAACGAAATTTTTTTCTGTCATACATATGACACTTCTATGACGATAATTGTGACAAAATCCGGTATCATCATAGATATGGTGGGCTCCTACTTCTATGACAAAATATCATGACAGAGAATGGGCTTTTCGTCCTGGGCGGGCCGGAGACGTAGCTGCATGACGGAAAAAACCGTGGTAGAAGCGAGGGGGAGGAAAATTTCGGGGAGTTCCCGGTTACGGTGGGAGGTCGGGGGCCGAGCGATGCGCGTTTTTCTCGTACACGTACGCGCGTGTGTGCGAGGCGTTGACTCTAACTGAACCCGAGCGAGGCGTTGGGCTCTAACTGAACCCGAGCGATTGCACTGCAGGCTACGCGTTACTGAACCCGAGCGATCGATCGATGGCTGTTAACTGAACCCGATCGAGCGATTCCTTTGCTACTGCTGCTAACTGAAGC